GGTGTTTCTAAAGCTGACGTTTCGAGCGTTAGCTCTTCGTCAGAGCGAATGGACTGATTGACGCTCTAAATGACGTTTAGCTGATGGGTTGATGACCAGCCTATCTGATAATATTTCGTTTTTCTGTTCGATTCCTACACTAGACACACCTTTAGCTAAAGGCTGATTGTCTATAAAGCTTAGCATTTCTTATCGCTAAGAAAATGGCAGCTTTGGACTTTCATGCTCATGGTAAACTATGCTCGTTTACAGATTTCTCAATGTCAAGTACCATCAGGCTTCGGTGGGAAAATTGAAGAAGATTACAGCAGTATCAACCATCGCCATTATATTTTTTATAGTTATTATATTCACCTTTGGCTCTCCTCCCGCTAAAAAAATTGTGATGAAGAAGACTCCTTCGGCTCACGAGTCACCAACTGCTGAGAGGTCTGGTGCCGAGAAACACTCCTTCATGCTAGCCATGAATCCCGACATTCCCGTCGAACTTTCTCTCAAGTGCAACACGTGCTCTTTAGTGAGCTCTTCTGGATTGCTGCTGGGCAGCAATGCAGGCTCGCAAATAGATACTGCCGATTGTGTTTTCAGATTGAATTCAGCGCCCACTCTGGGTTACGAGAGAGACGTTGGAAGAAAAACCACTGTTCGGGTTGTGTCGGTGACAAGATTCAAGTCTATGATGAGGGATTCGTGGCTGGGAACCTTAGCTTCGTTTGAGGATCTAGATTACATGATACTGCTTGGACCGGATGAGGTGCTGTGTAAAAATTGCACACTTTCTAAATTGTACCAGAAATTCGCCAAATACCTAAAAAATACTGAAGTTCTTCGGGTAACGCAAGAAACCTACCAGAAAGTCAAACAAGAGTCAAGAAAGCTTGGAGTTAAATACGGAAGGTAGTTGACTCTCTCTTGCTTTAGCATTAAAGAGCCATTCCTCACTTGTAATTCTCTAATAGGATACACAAATCATACCACGTTGAAGAGAAGGTATTTAAACATTTAAGAAAGATGAAAGACACCTAAGAGAATCAAGGACCCCGGGTGTTTACTTACCGACTGTCAAAATTGGACAACCAAATTGGTCCAGCAGTAATAGAGAATCTCATCTTTCAAGCCAATTCAGTCCATTCTTTATTTGCATTAGTTCCCCTGGCGGAGTTTTGATATTAAGGAACACTCTTAAGAAACTGCTTATTCAGTTGGGCCTTTTCATTTCTGACTAATAGAACACTGTAAGCCATTCATAAACGCCAGAAACCTTTCATTACAAGCTATCTAGGTTTGAAAAATGTCGGAATAGGAAGTGCATTTTCTAAAACAGTGTTTTTTTGTTCTTTTTAGGCAGGACCTTCCTATTTCCACAAGATTTTACACAATGAATCTCGTTCGTCAGTTTTGTCCCCAAATCAGGGTATTTGGTATGGAATTGGAGAACCCCTGTGAAAGGTAAATCCACTTGGTTCCATAGTGTTTTCCTAGACAGTATAGTTTTGTATCAGAACTAATCAAATTTTCTTTGTTTTCGGCTTCTCATCTGTTGTATCTGAATTTGATTAATTATGGTTAAATTCCTTCTAGACATGGAACCGTTCCTCTGTTCTACTGGCTTCCAGATTCCTGGCAGCGCAATTGTTTGAGTCATCACGGAGAAAGAGTTAACCAACAATTCTTCCAAGGTCTTCTGAGACTTCAACAGGAAAGACAAATCTTTAAATCTTGGGCTCACCAGTATCACATTGAGTTTTTCTATCCTTCTCACAAAGTTACATAAACAATTTGAAGACCAACAAAACAGTTTATTTTTTCAATTAGTTCTTTATTTAAGAAAGCTACGAAGAACGAAGACAATGTTTGAACCTCACGTCTGCGTTCTTCTTTACAAACGATCTAGAGGCGTAAGCACGCATTCTCCATGTGAGGGGGGGGAGGGGGAAGTACAAGCGATTCATTGGAAAAGGAGGGCGTGCCAACTCTTAAAGATCCCTACTCCTTAGCTATGCACTTGAAATTATATCCGATCAACTGAATTATTTTGCGTTACCTTCTCCGGTTTTCTGTGACACAATAATGATTCTTTGCGTGAGCAGGCGTTCTTTAACTTACATTGCGGCAGATATATTTGAGAGGGTTGAGTTTTAACCTGGATTGTTGTTAACTATACGTCACAGTAAGACAGACCAGTGCTAGTTTCGTCGACCTAATACCTACATTGAAAACTATTATTCGTTTATATTTCAAGTTTTGCATTTTATGGAGACGCAAAAACTTTGGAAAAACGTTCGCTATATTATTTGTTTTTATTGAATAATATGCCTAGATTTTCCGAAATTTTCCAATCTCAGTGGTTTGAGATTGTGCAAACGTATATTTTATTTATTCATTTTCAAAGACGACAAATGGTAAAATTAAATAGAAGCGATCGTCCTTAATAAATGAACTTTAGTTCTGCATCGTCTTCTTCTCGCATACTTCTCTCATTGACAGAATAGCCTTGGGCTTAATTTTGAAAATTTTTCGATGCCCAATAATGCCGAAGTGTTTTTCAGCATTTCAACCATGTAACACTTTTAAAAGAGGCATTCAGAGTCGGCTCGCAGCCTTTCCTTTACCTTACATCTCTGCTATACTAATTTTTGTGCCAATAGAACCAAAAGGCTGTTTGAATATTATCGTCTACCGGACAGATAGAACTTGATTAACAAAAAGGGAAAAAAAAAGCTTGTTTGAGCTTGTTATAGACCTTCTGCGATTCTTTTCTTTTATCTGCAGTAGATATCAATTAGACGTTTTAGATACATCATGATTTCCAAGATGTAATTATTTGTGCAATTGCAATTGTGTTTTCAGTGCCACTGAATGAACACTCTTTCGTCTCTTGCCAAATTTCCTTCGTTTACTTTTAAATCTTTTATTTTGATTCGTGCAAATTATGATCTTCCTCTGTTAAAATATATCATCGAATTACTTCAGCCGACTTCCAAATTTTGTGTTGTCTATCTTCTTTGCAATCCTCAACTTGGCTTTTTGTTGTTGGAGGGGCGGGGAGGACTCAACAATCGTCGACAATCGAGACGCAGTTTCTCTCGTTTCTTTCTTTGGGCGTTTTTCTTCGTGTTTCAACAGCGTCCACGTTCCCTTGCGGAAAGACTTCTTGGTTCTACGTCTACATATGAAACAGCTTGGAGATTGTCTTCTCTTTCAAGTTGAGTTTCATAGAATTTCCCTCTTCTTGAAGTGGAAACCAGCCACGGTGTTGTTAATAGCTTAATTTTGCGGTGGCATTTTCTTGATTGAAGAGCGAAAAGGGTTAGATAACTGTTTCCAAGCCTTAAAAAGAGAAGGATAGAAGAAAAAGATAGATAAGATGGAGGGAGAGTGGTAAGAAGCTGGAAGACAGTAGGAATTGTATGGAGGATGGAAAAGAAGCTGTTTCGAGAACATTTAAATTATAACTGTTTTCCCCTTACCCAGCGGTCCAGTGTGAAGTTCCCCATTTAAATCCTCTGTGTTTTCGATTTTCTGCTTTCCTTCCTCGGTTTCTTGCTCTTTTTGTTTTTCCCAGTAATTCTCTTGGACTTTGGTCACGGGAACCGCGTGACCGGGACCTGGGGACGAATGATAACCAAACAAGTAAAACCATTTTAGAAGACTAATAGGGTCGAATTTTTTTTTTTTTTTTTTTTTAACAGAATCCGGCATGGATGAATTTGCAAAAATGACCAACGGAAAATTCGAGATTGACGGTCGACGGTGGTGAGAGAGTTTATGCTCACCTATAGTAAGCTCACTTAGAAAAACTGAAAAAGAAGAGAAATCCCTGTCTTCAAAATTCCACTTTTAATTACATAATGCATATATGCGTTTCACGTTGGATAAGTGTACTACTTACCACTTAAAGTTCACCTAAACCCAAAAATTTTTTTCGCTTAACGAAATAAGCGTATTTTTGGAGTATTTCTGTGCAAAAATTTTCTTATTTGCTCAAATCTTCAATTTTCTGTGCCCAGTCAAAATATGGAAAATCGGCCGCCATCTTGCTCCACGACCGAGTTTAAAGAGGAAGTTGGGGCAACACTAAGTG